GACCGTGCAAGGCGTCGTAAGAGGAGCCCACTTGGCTGCAGCCGAGCAGTGTTGCAGGCGGCGGCCTTGGTGGCCTGGCCTAAGGTACCTTGCCTACAGGTACCTACCTAGTTAGGTGGCAGCAGCACGGGGCACCGGGCGCAGGACGCAGGGCAGGACCCAGAGGACAGAGTACGCTGATGAACAGTGGGGCAGCAGACACTGTCACACTGTCACACTGGGCACGGGACACGAGACACTACCTAGGTAGGTAGAAAGCACAAGGACAGCCAGGCAGGCAAGGGCCACCCAGATCTCAATTGACCTGCAGGCAGGCCCCCTCCGGAGCATTCTAGTCTTCTTCCTCTTGCTCATACGACCCCCCCTGCTTACATCATCCTACCAGTACCAGGCAGCGCGAAGCATGCAATCAGGACGCTGATAGTTGAGGTGACCTGGCCTGGCCCGGGGGCCTGGAGCTTGGGGAGAGTGGCGCCTTCTCCCATGGGAAAGCAAGAAGAGACTGCCAGATGTACAAGTATGTCTTGGGAAGGACGAAGAAATGTACCAGTAGGTCGCTAGGCCCTCGGAACAATTCCCACAGTCCGAATGACCTGTCTACAGCCCGTCACCTGAAAGGAAGGGGCTCGTAGTGCAATGTCAATCTCGTCTCGCCAAGATTGGTCCGCGGGCTTCCGCTTCCATTTCAGGGTCTCGTCTCCATCCAGAGGTCCTTTCCCAACATGCCTGCGCCAGTGTTCCCGACCTGTTCACCCTTGTCATGGTGGGTCCCCGGCTATTCTACGGCCCATCTCCAACGGCGCCGCGTCGTTCCTCGCACCTTCCAACAAGTTACTCCCTTCCAAGGTTCCTTCCGCCCACTCGAGGTTGGTAGGAGCGGCACGATAACGATAAGGCCATTAATTTTTCGATGCCTGCTTGCTTTGCCCCCTGCCACGCTCATGAACTGCACGAGCATCAAGGGAGCTGCTTCACGAGGTTGAGCCTTCTCTGTTGCCCGACGACACTGCATCACGCCGGACCAGGTTTTGAATATCTTCCGTCATTTCTTTGTGCACGATTTGGGGCCGATACCCGTCACTTGCCCCTCCTTGCCTCGTGTGCCGCCCCGAGGCGTCACTCATTCATACCCAAGTCACGTCCAGGTCACATTCACCTCAACCACCACCCCCGAGGCAGACGCATCCGCCGCCGCATCTCATCGACGAGGAGCACCCACTCCCTTGCGTGCCCGGAAACTCATCAGAGATTCTTGACCTCGGACTTTTTGGGGCATTTTCACCACAGAGGGATTCCACATTCATCAGGGGCAGGCACCACCAATCACGGCAGGACCATTCGAGCTCACGGGTATTCAGACTGTCGACTTTCTCTGGCATTGACACCGACGTTCTCTTGAGAATAATAACTCTTCGGGCATTATGGACGCCTCTGACGAGGCCCCGCCTGCGGTCAGCTCTCCGGCACCCGCCATTCTTGAGGCCCAGCAGTCCTCGAAGAAGCGATCACGGGAAGTGAGTGAAGAGGCGACCCCTCTCCCTGCGGCACCATCTCCTGAGCCTGAGTCCAAGCGTCAAAAGACTGCACCGCCTTCTGGTCACGAGCCTGCAGTGGAAATTAGCAAGGCGCTGGGAAACACAGTTACGCCAACAGCCGCAGAGGTACCAAATATAAATAAGGCTACGTCAGGGCCCGCCTCGAACACGAACAACTCCAAAGGGCAAAAGAAGACGGGAGGCAAGAATTCTGCCAAGACCTTTACAGACGAGACTGGCCAACAATTCCTGCTGCCCACGGATCCGAAGATCCTTCGTAAGAAGCAGGCCGCTGACACGTGGCATGAGCGGATCACCAGATGGATCAATGCTCTTGTAGAGCAGAACAGGGATAAGGGGCCCCTCATGACACCAGCACTCTGTATTGATATGTTCGCGCATGCCCAGAGCAAGGAGAAGGAAAGCAAGACGGCACTACACCGGATCAAAAAGCTGCAGAAAGGGGGCAAGCTGGACACGATGGTGGGCCTCGCGCTCGAGGCTGTGCATGGACCGGGTGTTTCTGCCGCAGGAACATCGCAGGATCCCATCTCAATTGGTGATGATGGCGAGGCCGAAGATGCAGAAGAAGACGGAGAGGACACGGGCAGTGGCGACGAGGAGACAGATAACACGACACGCCCGTCGACATCTGGTCCTTCTGGCGCAGCTTCTACCCAGGGCGACGACGACGCGAAACGACAAGAGTCGGCGCCAACAGCAAGCGATTGGGCGTCACTGCTCGGGCCCGAAGCGGGGAGCGCCGCAGGGCAGAGCGCCGCAAAGGCCAAAGGCGACGACAACAGGAGCACACAGCACGACGAGCCAGAAGTGGCTGGGTACCGGCAAATCATGAGAGAAGACGAGGCCGAGAAGGAGCAGCAGCGGTATTTTCCTGGCGCGACTGAGATCTGCACGATTTGCGCGGCCACTGGCCACACGTGCATGGCCTGTCCAAACACTCTCTGCCAGTTCTGTCGGGGTGATCACTTTTCGTGGAACTGCCCGGGACGATCCAGGTGCGCCAAGTGCCGACAGTTTGGCCACACCAAGTCCAAGTGCAAGGAGAAGCTGGCCATGGCGCTCGAGGAGGGCCTCGAGTGCGCTTTTTGCGGCGAGGGTGACCACCTGGAGAATGCCTGCGACAACGTCTGGCACTCATGCCACCTCCAGCCAGAGAGCTTGCACACGGTGCGTTACATTGCGGCGTTCTGCAGCTACTGCGGGTGCGAGGGACATTACTCGTCAGACTGCCCGGCGGGCGACCAGCAGCCGTTTCCGCAAAAGTGGACGGCGACTTGGTCGTTGAAAGACCGCGATCTCTGTGTTGACGCGAACGCGACGGACGAGTCGATCGCGCGGTTTGGCGTGGCGGCGGAGAGCAACGATCCTGGCATGCATGTGAGGGGCGCGGCGGCGGCCGCCAAGCGAACGCACATCTTCTACTCTGATAGCGACGGGTCGGAGGAGGGCGAGTTCCTCAGCGAGAAGGTTAAGCCGCGGGCGGCACCAGGCCAGATGCGCATGTCGACCAACATTCGGTTCAACTCGACCATGCCGAGCACAGCCTTTGCGGGCCAGCCTCCCCTGCCGCCTGGACCCCCCCCGCCAGGCCCGCCACCGGGCAACCCTGGGTCGTACTCAAGAATGGCAACGAGCTACGCCGCACAGTCGCACGCATTACCACCGAGGCCACCAGCGCCGGGGCAGCCCCCCTCTGGGCCGGGCGCGCAGCGCGGTGGTTACCACAACGTCCCGCCTCCCAAGGGGCCGGCGGCGCAACCGAAGAACAAGGCGAAGGGCAAGAACATACCGCAAAGCAACAAGAAGAGAGCCGCGATGCAGCAGCAGCAGCAGCCCCAGTCACAGGGCTCGTCCCAACAACAGCACGGCTCGAGAGCAAACCAGCGAAGGGGTAACGGTACAAGTAGGAGACCCAGACGGGGCGGCAAATAGGGCTAGTTGATCCGCGCCCTAATTCGGCTGTTGGCAGGAGGGCGAAGAGGCGTGGCGGTTCGATGGGAGGCCTTTGGCGTGAGACTTTTTCTGGCTCGAGACGTCTGACGATGACACGGCAGCAGCGGGTGACTCGTTTTGCTTTGCCAGACTTGCTGGCAAAGAGTCACAAACACAGATGGGGCAAGGATGCCCAACACGACATGTATACTACACAGCATAGCCAGCTTGCTATGCGTTGTTCGGTGAGAGGGCATCTCAGAGCGAAGGGGCCATGGCATGGGGAGGAGGCTGTAGCAGTAGCAGGATGAATGAATCAGAGGCTATATGACCTAGGGTGGGTGTTCCAGGGGGGGTTGAAGGGGTGGCAACCAGCTGTGATGTGGTGATGGGCGACAAGTCACGACTCAAGCTAGAAAGGGGGGGGGGCTCGTCAGGAGTGAGTCAAAACAAGGGCCATCGTGTGGCCTTGAGTTGTCGGGCTTGGGTTGGCCTTGTCTCATTCGAAGCCGTTGACAACGGATCAATGGGGTCTTTATCCACCTTGTGGCTGTGTAGTCAACACAGGCTTGTGGCACGACGACACACGGCAAGAGGAAGAAACGCCGCGCTTGTCTCGACAGAGTCTCGACAGAGTCTTGACAGAGTCTTGACAGAGTCTCGACGAGTCCCCACGCGCAGCCACGCGACGCGTTTCTCTCCAACGACCAATCACACAACGGCACGGAAACAATGATCCAATCAGAACACTCGGCGCGCGTGTCTCAACCGTGACAGCGCTAGCCTTTCCAACCGCGAGGATCCAGTCAACGGGCCGGCCGCTGCGGCAGACCAGGACCCCCAAGACGGACGGACCGTGGCATCCAGGGGTTGAATGCAGGTGGCCAGCGCGCCGGACCAGTCAGGTCGGCCGGCGCGCCGAAAAGTCGCGGTCGAGGGTGCGTGCCGGTACGCTACTGCACGGCTGGGCTTCTCCCCCCCATTGTCCACCGTGAGTCACCAGCCAGTTGTTTCTGCGGGGGGACGCATCTCTCTCGCAACTCGCAACAACATTCGCCGTCCTGCATGCAGCCAGACAAAGTGCTTGTATGGGGCTGCGCCATGAGCATGAGGCAAAAACAGAGACGGAGACTATGAAGAGAAAGAAAGTACGGGGATCAGAAAGAAAGTCAGGGGGCTAGGGAAGGCCGGTGACCAGGCTGAGAGGCATGGCTATATCAGGACCCGAGGGGCCTCTGACTGGGCCGCCTTGACGGCCTCGCTTTCACGTTCACGACCGTTTCATTTTCCCCGTCTGTGTCTGTGTGCCTGTGTCTGCTGCTTCTATTTCACTGCTTCGTTGTATGAGCGAGTCTCTCTGTGCCGAGCTCATTCTCTCTCCATCTCGCCCCCAGAAACTTGTCCAACACCTTGTCTCTCTGCCCTCGCTCTTGACCACACCTGGCTTCGGGAATAGCCTCACCTTGCCATCAGCCAACGACACAATCAACCAGCACGAAAACCAACAACATACCACAAGCAGGAAATACACCACCTTGATCCTCATCAATATTCTAAAAGACATAGTCCTTCGCATCGTCGAAAATACTTCCACCAACCCGACAACCTTGCCGAAAACAATGCAAGAGCCGCCATGGACGCCCAACAAACAACACCGTTTTACCGTCTCTGGCAGACAGACAACCAGCACATCCGCGACCGCATCCTAGGCCTTCTCCCACGCGAGGATGTTGCCGCCCTGCGCCTCGCCTCCTCTGCATGCTGCAACGTCACGACCAAGCGCCTCTTCAAGCGCATCCATGTCACCTTTACCCCCAACACCTTTACCAAACAGTCCCGCGTCCATGCTCTCGCCCGCATCGGCCACCACGTGGAGCATCTGACGTTCCACTTTGCTCACTCACCCGCCACCTTCCTGCCGCCCCTCATCCATCCTCTGACCGGCGCCGAGATCTCCTTTCTCTACACGCCGCACACCTCTATGGCCTCAGTCCTCGCCCGCCCCAAGTACGCCAACACGGAGCTCGGCGAGATTCTCACACAGCAGTACCCGCCCCTCTTTCACGCTGCCACCAACGTCCCCTCCTTTATCAATGCGCTCGCTCACGTGCCGAACCTCCGCCACCTCACCCTGCGCACGCCCGGCCAGGACCCCCGCGAGCGCTACCGTCGCGATGCCGTAGACTATGCCCTCATCAGCCTGCGCATCGCCCTCGAGAGAAATCCCCTGACCGCCCTCTCGCAACTCTCCCTCGCCCACCTCCACCCGGCCGCCCTGCAGTACCTCAGGGCGGCTCCTGCCGCCTCGCTCGGCGCCCTGCCCTCCTCACCGCGCCGCTGGCGCCAGATCCGCAAGCTTTCTCTCGCCGTCGAGAGTTGGGACTTTTCCGACACCTCGACCCCGGGCCGCGATCACCTGCGCATCATGGACGACTACCTCCGCGCCATGGCCCCCTCGCTCGAGAAGCTGTCCTTCACCTGGCTCGGCCTGCGTGGGCCCTGCCCCCTCGCACTGCCTGCCGATCCCCTCTTCGCGGCCCCCTCCTCGCGCGCCAGCAGGAAGCTCTTCAACGAAGTCACCTCGCCCATGTCCCCGCTGCCACCCGCCCCGGGCCGGCCCCCCATTCACTTTCCCCGCCTGCGCCACATGGGCGTCCGCAACGCGACTATGCACGCACCGCAACTTGCTGGCCTCGTCGGCGCCCACAGTGCCACCGTGCGCGAGTTTGACTTTGAGGATGTCCTGCTCGCCGACGGCGGGCGCTGGAGCGACGCCCTGGCGCCCCTCCACGGTTCGTCTTCCTGGTCGGCCGAGGGGCCGACGGGTGACGCTGACCGGTGGTCGAGGTCCTGGTCTGGCTCCGTGTGTGGGTCGAGTTCTGAGTCGTCACCTACCGGGAGCCTGCACAGCATGCCGTCGCGGGATGATCTGCCCTCGACGCCGAGCGCTGCCGCTGCCGCCGCCTCGAGGGAGCTGCTCGCTTTTGACTTTGGCGAGGCTCTTGACGGGCTGGACTTCCTCGGCGAAGTCGGCGGCGATGACGAAGAGATCGACGAGAGAAGGAGGAGAGAGGACCTCGAGGCTGATCTCGTCAGCGAGATTGCCGCGGCCAGGGAGGCGAGCGCTGCCTTCACGACGAAGCTCAAGAAGAAGCGCAAGGTGCGTAGGAGAGTGGATGAGGTCGTCGTCGATCAGCTAGACGTCAAGACCAAGCAGAGCAGCCACCGACACCGGGGGCCCTCGGACGCCGAACAAGAGGTCGAAGCGCGCGACAAGCAGCATCACCGCCGTCACGGCAGCCGTCACAGGAAAAAGCGACACGCCGAGGACGACAAGGAGAGCCGCCCCAGCCCCGGCCCCAGCCGCAGCAACAGCGACCGCTCAATCCTCCGCAAGCAGCCGTCCAACATGTCGTCGACGGCGCCCGAGGCGGAGTGCCACCGCCCTGCCGGCCCGGCCCGCACGCTGTCCAACATTAGCGCCCCCATCATGGACACCACCCAGCAGCCGGTTCTCCTGCAGCCCACGACGTACGACCCCAACCGTCGCCACGCCGCCGACGTGGACCCCGACGAGGGCATCTCCTCTGTCCAGCGCAACATTGAGCAAGAGGAAGCCCACCGTGTGCTGGCCGAGGACGCCGCCGCGCGGTCGAGCGCGCTGCAGAAGGCAAAGGAAGCCGTGCTGCTCAAGCTCTCGGCGCAGTTCAGCAGCAGCAGCAAAAAGCACGTGCCCTCCCACGGGCCCGATAGCTGCGCCATGGCGGCACGTCTCAGGGAGGGCCTGTTCGGCAAGAGCTACGTCAGCGTGCTGCCTGACGCGCGGAGCATGTCGAGCCAGTCGGCACTGGTGCCCCTGATGTTTACGAGGTCATGAATAGTCCGAGCCTGAGTCCGATGCCGGGTTTTTTTTGTCGCCCTGTCACAAATGTGTAAACGACCTTCTACCTTCTTTGATCGCTTGTACGGCCTGGGGAGATGGAAAGGGTGCGCGGAAAGGGGGTGTTCCGGGAGAGGGGGGCTTGCTACGATGTTTCTACTTGCTTCTTCTTTTCAATGAATATATGACGTGACGTTCGCTTTCGTTGGCCTTCTCGTGTATCTGTTTCTCATGTGTGTCCATGTCTGTCTGTCATACAAAGACAACCCGATTTCGCCTCTTGCCCCTGTCGATCAAGATGGCGTGGGTGCTGCCGCTATGGCGATAAATCAGTACCGGGAAGGCTCTTGGCTTGCGTCTCTGCCTCTCTGGAATGTGAAAATGCGCCACTAGACATTTCAAATCAACGATGCGAGTCTTAGATGGCTATCACGATAATGCGAGCAGCCATACATGCCAAATGTGGGCATCTGCAGATATTCCATCTCCTTTTGGCCCGATAGTAGCTCACAAGTCCACAGGTGCTAAGCACTCCGAGGCTGCCGTACATCGACTACCCCAGTCTCACACGACGCCTCGTTGCGGCAAACTGAGCAGGGTCAAAGTAGCCCCGGAATGCCTCTGCGGATTCGAACGTGTCCCGGTCAATGAGCTTGGCTAGTTCTAGAATCCCGACTCTGAGCGTATCACCTGCAACAGTATCCAGTACGAGGGCGAATGTGCTGTGCTCAACAGGAGAGAATGTGACAGCTGTCAGGTCTCGCCCCTTCAGCCTTGACAAGTTCCCGAACCCGGAATCTGGCAACAGTCGTGCAATAATAGTCGTTTTTTTATCCGCATTATTGGGATGATCCGTTACTGGAACGAACAGAATGGTGACGGGTGATCTGCTACCCGTGGTATGTCGGAGCTCCTGAAGACAAAAAGCACCAGTCTGGAAGGACCAGCACTCAAGGTGTATGTATTGGCTCCACTTCAGGGAAGACTGTTCGAGACCACTCCCGTCACGGAAGACGCTCCACTCGACAGCTTTCCCGTCAGGTGTCTCTATCCAGACTTCAGCATCAAACTCCTTAGAGACATCCTCTAAGTTAGGAGGGAGGATGTGGTAGTACGGATGACCAAACAAACACCGTCCGTTCTGCGATACCCAGGACCAGCTCGGAAATTCCGACAGTCTGGCGAGCCCAGCCTTCCCGGTTCTCGCCTGTAGCTGCCAGTGCAACCCGGCCAGAAATGCTTGCTTTGACGATGTGCCGCTGAGAGGCTCCGTGCCTGAAGCTACGACGGGTATACCCCAGTAGGAGGCACAGCCCTGGTTGACTTTCGCCCACCTAGTAAGTACGCCCGTGATAGCGGCGAGCCTGTCGCTCGAGAAACTAAGCTGGCGTTCGCAATAGTTGGAGATGACGGCCCATATTCCATGTGGGTTGTTGATGTGGTTCCATTCTGGTCTCTCCCGATGTTCCAAGCTCCCTTCGTACGCAAGAGGCTGCGTTAGGTGCTCAAAACACATCATATCGTGGCACTCAAAAGAGACCTCATAGCTGGAGAAATACAACCTTCTTCTCGACAGACAAGTCTCTTGAAATGTCCAGCCACGAGTAGCCCACTTCGATTTCGACACCTCGTTCAGCTGCCAGTGGTGGCTGAACTTGCCAACCAGATGTCGCTCGCCTATTCTCTTATTTATAGGAATGTGTTGAGTTCGGCTTAGTGTCAAACCTGGCAATCCGTAGCTAGGATCCTTGGCTCCGACGGCGACAATGGTGAGCTCTGCGTCGCTGTATATCTGGTCCATCCTTTCAACCTGGCTCATCTTGTGGATCTGGTCATCTTGCCAGATACAGTAGCGGTCGATCCATACGTATCGAAATCCAAGCTTGACGACAGCGCGCATCGTGTCGAGGATCACGGGGGGTAATTCATCTGGCAGATTTGGATAATTGTACTTTTCTGGAGGAGCACCTCCCCACACGTAACTCAATGCCACGTAAGGGTATTTCCTGTTCGGATCCGGTTTGATGATACGTCTTGCCTCACAATCTATCAGTTTCAGCCGCGGCACAGGCTGTAGGTTTCCTCTCGTGCGACAATTATCGTGCTGGTCCTCGCAAAGCTGGACCCATGAACGCACAAATTCGTAGTCAATCTTTTCCTCCAGCAAACGCCGTCCCTGCATGGGCAGGTCAAGAGGGCGTCGAAGGTCGAGGGACTGATTCGCAACCAGCGATACTAAGGATCCTGGGAAGTCTCGATGGGCGAACCGCACAAACAAAGTTGTGCTGCCAAACGACTTGGCCTTGGCCTCATCATATTGGACCTGGTCCATTATGAGTAGGAAGACTGATGCTGCGGCATTCGTGGCATATTGCTCCCTCCTGCTTGTGGCTATATCATACAGAAGGTCTGATGGGATAGCCAGCAGGACCTTCTTCGTCTCACGTGGGGTATGGCTATTGGGGTTCAGCGGGCGCCCAGCAGCGAGTAAGTGCCCAATGCCACCCACAATCTCGCAAAAGGGACAGCTGGGGACTATGCCTGGCGGGTAATGTGCGACGATTTCTTCTCGAGTGAGACGTCTCCAGGTTGCGGCATGTTGGATATATTTGTCCCATCCGACAGCCTCGCTCTCGGGCGAGGGAGCTGGCGGTAGACCTTTGAAACGAGTCGGATCAAAAAGACCCTCGATGTTGAGGTTGGCGCAAATGGGACAAAGCCGGTCGTCGGAGAATGACATTGCGTTCGTGTAGCTGGTGTAAGCTGTTTCTAGACCAGATACGTCATTGGGCTCACACAGTTGCAGAGTGAGAACACGACGAGGAGACATCGTATTGAGGCATTTTGTTTTATGCAGGCAACCATGACCAAGAATGCGCAGCGCGGTGCATCCTGAAACACCCTCCCCCGGGACATGCCTTGAGGACCTTCTGTATGTTGCTCACGGTCGTCCGGACGTTCAGTGAGACTCAGCACGGCGGGTCAGTCAACACCGGTCTCCGCAACCAGCTTCTGCCGATTGATCAGCTTATAGAAAAACCATAGACGCCTCTGAGCTGGTACAGCGGCAGCGGTTGCTATGCATATTCAAAAGAAGACAAGCCATCTCGTTCTCATGAAAAGCCCAGAATAGGGCAAATGAGGCATCTGAAAGATCCCACAATAGGCCCGTAAAGAACGGCCTCTGGCCACCCTGCCGGATGCCGGCACCAGGCCCGTGTGGCGGAAAATACAATCACGCCATGGAGGCTCTGAGTTCGGCAGTAGTGAGGACGGAGGTGGGGGACACAGCCCACCGCCTCGGTGTTGTCCCGGTCGAGAGGGCCACTAACAGCGGCAGGCAGGGACTGGCAAGTTCCGGCGAAGCTGTCAAGCACCGGCGCTGGTACCTCGCGCCCTTCAGCTGATGGTCCTGGGCCAACCAAGGACAGGATGATCGTAGCGGGGAGGCGGAGACATGGCCGCAAACGGCGATACAGTGTGCCAGAAGACGGGTTGGACTGACACAGACTCTGAAGCTGGGGGTGGCCTAGAGTTTTTGCAGCAAGTGATAACCCCAGAATTAGCCGGCCATGCCACTGCGCACTGCACGAGATACAGAAGACATTGATTGTGATAAGAGATGGTGGTCCGAGGCGGGGCGACGATCAGACTGGATGCTGGGCTGCTGGGCCCTACTGAGCCGACTGCCACGACGTTGGATGTTCCAGACACGCTAATGCAGTGAACGCTAGTTGGTCAGGCGAAGAATGGAGTGATGGGATTTGATGGCGATGATGGTGTTTGTGAGATGACGTCGTATCGATGGCGGTGAGGATCATGATGCTAGCCGTGTCCCAGTGCTACTGTTCGAGACGAGGCTCCAAGTGCAATGGGACGTCAGGTGCCCAAAGTACAGGTGATAAGGTGCCAGGGACGGGAAGGCAGGACTGAAGAATACCTAGGTGGAGACTGCCATGCCACAGAGACAAACGCAGACGCAGACGCAGCGGCAGACGGGCAGTCGCGCACGAGGAACACACCTGGAGTGGCAGGGGCGGGGCAGATCCGGGCAGGCAAAACCAAGCAACGGCAGCAGGAGCAGCTGACTCATCCGGGGCAATCTCCTCCAGGATGCGAGGCGAAATCACTGGGCGGCGGCAGGCCTGTCGCTCGTGCTGGGTCTGGACCGCCTGGGCGACAGGGGCCTCCCGGCTGTGCTGTCTCGCCTGTCTCGCCTGTCTTGCCCATGCCCACTGTTTTCCTCTTCCAGACAGGAGCTTGTCCTCGCTGATCGCTGATCTGCTGGATCGCCCCATCTTTGTTCCCCTTCATTCATCCGCATCCACGGTCGAGTGCCCCATTCTGTCACCAACGCCAGTCATCCGTCCATCATATTCCGCCATTCTCTGGGGAGCGCGTGTTCTGGCCGGGCCCTGGCCTCATAGGTCTCCTCCCCGAACGTTCCGGGAAACCACTACTCGGCGTCTCATCGCGATCGCCTCCAAGGGCTTGTGCCAATACGTACAGCCAGCACTACGACTGACTACGCATCTCCCTGGCTCGCCTGAGGAAACGAAAGGAGTGAGAGGCCTGTACCCGTCCCCTGTGGCCTTGTCTGACCAGGAGGCCCTTGCTCCGTTGGCCCGCCTCTTGCGCTGTTCCCGTCCCACCCTTCACCTTGCGCTGCTTCAGCTCCACGCGATTTTGTTTTCCTGGCGGATTCCTCGCCTCGCCTTGTGCCCACGCTTCGTTCTGTCCACGTCCCTTTCTGGTGTCAACCTTGACTATCAATTAGTTGGGCGTGGCTGCTGTCCATCTCGGGGTCCGTCTGTCGTCTGCTCGTCCACGATCAAGTCAGTTCAGTCTCTCCCTGGCGCCCTGGCGCCCCATCAATCCCAATCCCAGTGCTCGTCCTCCCGCAGCCGCTATTTTCTCCTTCCGCAGATCTGGCATGGGTGCTAATCCCCTTTAGCTCTTTCCACCCAAAAGGTCTCTCGCTCACGCCGTCCTCCCGCCGTCCGCCGCTGGCTTTCGGTTCTTTTCTTCCTCTTCCTCTCGATACGTCCCATTTCTTGGCTCGGAAGACCCCTCTCCAAGCTTGGTCTCTTGCCTCTCTTGCCTCTCGTCCGCATTCGCCTCTCTTGCCTCTCGTCCGCATTCGCCTCTCAGCCGTCACGCTTCATCGGTCCTTACAGTCAGCTCTCTACAGTCCCCCACCCTCTGCCTTAACCTGCGCCTCACGATACCACCACGGATACCACCCCCGACGCTCCCTCGCCGCGCCCTCGTCCTCACCAGCATCGCCTCTCGACATCAGCAATTGTCCACCTCCCAACTTCTTAGCCTGCCTCTCCATCTTGCGCCTTCGCAGAATATCCTTTTCTCGATTGGCACAGCAGCGTTGCGCATTCATTCGACCTTCACCCCACCGATATTTTGACGCGGAAATCTTGCGATTGGCAGCGATAGAGCTGAACGCGCTGAACTGACATCAGCTGCGACACTTTCCCCAGCAGTTCACATCCCATTCTCCTCAAAGTATTCAAACAGGGTGTGAACGTTCCGGCGTACGATGACTGCGAAACTGGGCCACCGCCTCACCCCAACTTCATAACCCGGCAAGATGGGCGTCCGGATCGCGATACGGGAACAACTGGCACTGCTTGTCGTCCTGGCCGTCCTTGTGGCCTTGATGATATTGTCAGTGCCCGTTTGGATCTATGTCAACAGCTTCGTCATCGATGTCGAGAGCAACCAGCTCGCCCTGACGGCCTCGCTGAAGGCCTCGCGCATTTCCAGCGAGCTTGAGTTGGTCCAGACTAACTGCCTCACAATATCCTCGCGGCTGTTGATCCAGCGCTCTATTTACGACTTTTACAACGGCAATCAGACAGAGCAAAATTGGGAAATAGCCAAAGCCGACCTCGAGAGTGCTCTCTCCGTCGGCTCGCTCAGTGGCCTTCTGCAAGGCCGCATCTACTCACGAAACTCGACCGGCAACAACTATGGACTTGTCAATGTCACGGGTGCTCGCGTCAATGAGACCCCGATCGAACTGCCCTACCGTGGGCCCGACAACCAGCCTGTGTTCCTCAGCGACACGGAGGAGGGATACCCTCCAGAGCTCTATCCTAATATCACCTACATCGATCTTGGTCGTCCCAGCCAGGTTCGACCAGGGGAGCGTGCCTACATCGCCGAAGCATTTCAAGGTGTTCGCATTTCTACGAACGGCGGCTTACTGCTTGGGCCGCTTATCCTCAACGAGACTTTTGCTCTCATGTCCATCTCTGTGCCGATTCGAGACCAGCGAGAGAATAACTTTGTGATTGGATACATTACGCTAGTGTTCACGTCGATATCGCTGCTCGAAGTCGGCAAGTCTCGAGAAGGGTTGGGCGACACGGGCGTCGTATTGGTGGTCGGTCCTACAAGCCCGACCAACCGGTTCGACATTACAAACCCTGTCAGCAACGCTACCTTCCTCCCTGACAGAGACAGGTTTGGGGACACACCTGTGCAGTTCATCTTGCCGCCTCAACCTGTCGCCGGTCAGGCCGACCGACACAGCGATCGTAGGTATTTGGATGGCAACAACATGGAACCTTTTGCCATCGAAAAGTTCCCTGCCGTACTCGACTCCTTCTCCAAGCGCTTCGACACGGTCAACAATGCCAGCTCTATGCTCTCGACGCACAATGAACAGAACGTTCCCGTCGCTGTTGGTTTTGCACGGACTAACACGCCTCTTGTTAACTGGACCGTTGTCGTCGAGCAAGCAAAGTCAGAGACAGATGCGCCCATTTCGACACTTCGCAACATCATCTTGGGGTGTGTCTTTGGCACCGCCGGTTTGTTTATCATCTTTATTTTCCCTTGCGCCCACCTCAGCGTGATGCCCATTCGCAGGCTCAAGGCTGCCACCGAGAAGACCGTGGCGCCACCTGGCTATGAGGATGGCTATTATGACTGCGACGACGACGACAGCCCGGGGTCCGGTGCCATCTCTTCACGTTCGCAGAGGTCCAAAAGGGATGGTCTCGCAGTGGCTCTCCTCAAGCTGGTGGGATACAAACCAAAAGAAAAGTCGCCTTCCGAGCACGAACGCGAATCGACGCGCAGAAGTTTCAAGATACCTGGCAAAGTCGATGATCGCAAGCACTTCATCTCAGACGAACTCACCGAGTTGACGCAGACTTTCAACGACATGAGCGACGAACTGGTAAAGCAATACTCATCACTTGATCAAAAGGTCGCGGAACGAACCAGAGAACTTGAGATCAGCAAGAAGGCAGCTGAGGCTGCCAACGAGAGCAAGACGCTATTCATTGCCAACATCTCACACGAGCTCAAGACGCCCCTGAACGGCATTTTGGGCATGTGCGCCGTCAGCATGGAGGAGACAGACATCACCAGGATAAAGCAAAGCCTGAAGACGTTGTACAAGTCAGGCGACCTACTGCTCCATCTCTTAGAGGATCTCCTCAGTTTCTCCAAGAACCAGATTGGCCAGCAACTAGCCCTTGAAGAAAGGGAGTTCAGATTGGCTGATATCAGAACGCAAGTGCTGTCCATTTTCGACAAACAGGTGCGGGAAGGCCGTATCGCCCTCTCTGTTGATTTCCTGAGTTCCGAGGTCGTCGAGATCAATCCTGGCGTGGACAGAACCAGTGCAGAGAAGAAGCTACCCGCCCTCGGTCCCCACGGCATGGGACGACTCAAAGACATGTGTCTTTGGGGCGATCAACACCGAATTTTGCAAGTTCTCATCAACCTCGTCAGCAACAGTCTCAAGTTTACACCAGCGGAAGGCCGGGTAGAAGTGAGAATCAGGTGCATAGGCGAGGTGGAAACCCCGGTTGGCGGCGACGACAGCCGCACATCGTCCTTCTCCAAAGACTCGAGACGATTCGGTAGATCGCGTCACAGGCTGAACTCGAGCTCGGTCCACTCGGCCAGCTCCAAGGCGGGCTCTACATCATCGCAACAAATCCAGAATGCTAGTTACAAGGGCACAGCACTTACGATCAACCCTGCTGATCCGAAGGCCACACCGCATGTTCAGATACGAGAACGGTCGCCCACACCACCGCCCCCGGGCGCCAAGCAATTCATGTTCGAATTCGAGGTTGAGGATACCGGCCCTGGTATTCCAGAGAACATGCAGCAGAGGGTCTTCGAGCCTTTCGTGCAGGGCGACCTGGGCCTAAGCAAGAAATTTGGCGGCACCGGTCTTGGTTTGAGTATTTGTCATCAGCTGGCGACCCTCATGGGAGGTTCCATCTCTTTGAGGAGCACCGTTGGAGTAGGCACAACGTTCACGATGCAGATTCCCCTCAAGTATGTGAGGGACAGGTAAGATGCACATGTTCATCTGTTGGGGGCGGGAATAGAAACTAACACGTGACCCTACAGAGCGTCCAGCACTGCATCCAGCAGCATCAAGTCAAGGCCACCTAGTCTAGATCTCATCGACGGAGGTATAGACAGCCCCCAAAGGAAGAGCGTAACTGGCAACTTGATCGCACCAGGTGACGACATGGATCCGATTCAGCCCGGTCAGGAGACGACGAGACTTGTGGGTTTGCGGCAACCTTTCTTCCCAGCATCTCCGACACCGAAGCCGACCAGCAACACGAAAGATCAGATGGACGCCATTAAGCGCGCCATCGCGAATAAAAACGGCAAGGGCAAACTGCGAGTCTTGGTCGCCGACGACAACTCGACCAATATCGAGGTCGTCAGTAAGATGTTGAAGCTAGAAGAGGTCTACGACGTGACGATCGCCAAAGACGGCCAGGAAGCGTACGACCTGGTCAAGGCCAACATGGACGAAAACCTCCGTTTTGATGTGATTTTTATGGACGTCCAGATGCCTAACCTTGACGGTCTGCAGTCAACCAAACTCATTCGCAAAATGGGTTACAAGGCGCCCATTGTGGCGCTGACGGCGTTCTCGGAGGCCAGCAATGTGAAGGAGTGCATGGACAGTGGTATGGATGAGTTCTTGAGCAAGCCGATCCGGCGTCCAGCGCTCAAGCAGGTGCTCATGAAATTCGCCACCATTCCCGAAGAAGAGGCAGAAACGTCAAGCTTGACGAGAAACACGACGCCGGAAGACGTCATCCGGGAAAAACCAGTGGCACATGAAGCTCCGACAAACGGAGCCGCGACCACGCCAAAAGATCCGGAGAAGGTGAACGGGGCACCAAGGTGACCCCGCGCTCTCACTATGTAATACACCTACTTGACAGAGAGCAACGCCGACCAAGGATGCAGCAATATTTGGGTGTCGGCGTTTGGGTCCTCTGTCTATTATTCCCCTTACCCCCGTTCGTTTTTGTAGATATCGCAGGTTCTGCCCGGATTCGACGCCGGCATCAGGAAGGGCATCGGAAACAAAATGGGACATGTGCTCAGGGAGGAGTCACTCATTTGTAGGAGCACAGGGTTGCGAGCAGAGATATCCAGTCATGAATGCCTTTTACTTTGTCCTTTCCATTTTTGAAAATCTCAGCACCGGGAGTTTGGTTTTGGCATTGGAACATGCTCGAATTATATACGCGCCATGATGACGGGGTTGGGGACCACCCCTGACGTGTGCACATAGTAGTAGTCTGGCCGGCAAGGCATATGTTAATTGAGGCCTTATGACGGGCTTCTGAAACTTCACCAATGGTACTATGAGTGTCTTTTTTTTTTTTTAGGTTCAAGTTGATCTACTTCACAGGTGTGCTTTGAAGGGACAATGTCTTCAATCCGCTGTCAATCCTATCAACGGATTGAAGCAAATACTGCGACACGTATGATACGATATGGGCCATAGGAGACTACAAAGAAATAGGCAGCGTTCGTTACAGTCGGAGTCAATTTGACAGTGTGATGGTCAGTCGCGAATTTTGGCCAACCCGACATGGCTCGACTTTGAGGCCAGCGCATGGCTCTCGGCCACCGCGAGCCCGTCATAGCTTTCCATCTCCCAACGCCGGGCCTGAATATCACGCTCCGCCGAGCCCTGGGTGCGGAGGTACGTGACCCGCCCTCTGGCGACCCAGAACAGAAAGGAAACGAGCAGCATGACGCCAAAGACGACGATGGCGTAGTTCATGTCGGTGGCCGAGGGGTTGGGCGAGCTGGGGAAGAAGAAAAAGACGGTCGTGATGGCGCAGTAGACGAGCGACACCCAATTGGCGACGGGGCCGAGCCGGCCAAGGGAGAAGTCCCCCGGCGGCAGCTTGTCGCGGCCGACGAAGAGCAGGACGGAGATGGGAATGGCGTACGAGATGGTCAGGGCGATGGTGCTGACGGCGAGCACGGCCTCAAGGACCGTCGACGCGAAGGTGTAGAGCACGCCGATGAGGCAGACGATGAAGCACTGCAGCCAGAGGGCGCGCGCGGGCACCTTCCAGGTCGGGTCCACGTGGGAGAAGTACGAACCCCAGGGGAGGCCGCCGTCGCGGGCGAAACCCCAGGTCAGCCGCGACGCCGAGGTCATGACGCTGATGCCCTGGCCGAAGCCGTTCACGATAAAGAGGGCGACGAGCACGGTGCCTGCTGTTCGGCCTAGGGCATCTTCGAGAACCTGGATGAAGGGGAAGCCAGTGGGTGTGTCGAGGACAGTGTCGAAGTCTTGGATGCTGAACAGCGTGGCCAACATGAAGATGAACCCCGAGGCTGCGCCACAGATGACGGCGAGATACATGGCTTTAGGGGCGTCACGACGGGGCGACGGCATCTCCTCGACCATGTGGATGACGGCGTCGAAAGCGGTAAGACCTGTCTGGCGTCAGAAAAGGGGGCGAGTTCAAGCTGCAAGGTGCCGCTGGACGTTGGAAGCCGGGAGGACACACCATATGCTGACTGGATAAGACCGACAAACCATGTCACTCCATCGGACCAGCCAGTCGTATTTGTCCAACCTCCCAGGACGAAGGATGCTGGCTGGAATTCCAAGTCTGGTTTCGTCCCAACCGAGATGAGTAGTGCCATACTGATGACGGCGAAGAGAGCGACGAAGCCAACGCCGACTCCATTGTTAAAGTAAGGTAGCGTCTTGTCGCTACGGCATGCAATCAGGTTGAAGCCGTTGAAGAATAGAGTGATGCCAATGTAAACCAGGAAGAGGGTCCAGCCACGGGTCGCCCACGGCCAGTCAACATCGAAAATGACCTTCATGCTGAGGAGAAGCTCGGTCATGAAGGCATTTTGCGACGCCGTCAAGGCCCACCAGCCGAACGTGTTCGTCCAGGCGCACATGTAGGAAAGCAGCCTCCCAGAGGGCGTGTCCCAGAGGCGAGAGACCCAGTACGCCTGCCCCAACGCAGTGGGCATGCTGCTGCACATCTCGCCCAGGGACAAGGCGATGCAAACGTTGCAGAAGAGAACGAGGAGGAGGCCCCAGAAGATGCTGACGGGACCTCCGGTTTCGAGGGCGGCGGACAGGTTCTGCGCAAAGACGGCCCAGGTTCCGAGAACGCAAAAGGCCATGGCAAGCATGCTCACGAGGCTGAATTTCCGGGTGAGCAGCTGCTCGTGGCCCAAGGCAGCCAGATCCTGAGCATCAACATCGCCTCGTGCTATGCGACCTTCCGCTTTGGCTGAGCCTGCGGCGTCGACTTCCATGTTGAGCGCTTCGAATGGTGTTATATTGTTATAAAGATGTCTCAAGAACGAGTGAGCAAGTTGTATGGAGAAGGAGGCCCAGGGGAACCGGCTCTAAGGTCAGACACAGATCTGATACTCTTCTCCTCCTCGCCTGGCACTGACTGCTTCATGTATGAAGAGACAGCCGACGCAGCAGCACCCTCCCAGACGACGGCGTGTGTACCTGCTATCAAGAAGGCATTGCTACCCCTCAGCTACCCCTATCCGTGATAACCATCTCGAGGATCGCGATAAGGCGCCAGCTCCCAGGATGACATTTGCGGAGTTCCAGCCCATCATCGGTCATCGCGGGGCGTCCTTAGCCCATGCATGGTCATGTCCGGCAGATAAGTGATGTGTGGGGAAGCGTCCACGCGATGGCCGTTGGCCTCTCAGCTCCCAGACTTGCCGATCGCTCAAAGCGGAAACATAGCCGCAACATACGCCCAGTCCGAAGATCGCTAGGCCCATGTTGGCAATTTTCTTGTAGGGCCTTTAGGACAGCTGTGTCCCCGCATTCCGCGGACAGTGTAATACAGAGCTGGTGTGGGAGATAAGTAGATACGAATCGGGGAATTAACGAGCATGACGATGTTCAGGCACATGTCCAGGCAACTTGGCCATGACCGCTGGCCGGCGTGAGTCTCGACGGAACAAGTTTGTCGATATGCTGCTATATATTGCGAAAGGCAACAGGTCAAAGATGAGGGAGATAGATTTTGGGGCATCGTATCATTTGGGACTTTCGGTTTCAACATCACAGCCTGGGATATGACTACCTCTGCCCTTCTGAAGCTGCTTCTTGCAGCATCTTCGTTCCTTGGTCCCGGTTCTGCTTCGTCCCATAAGCCTGCCGATACCGTCTTCCGCAATGGCTCAATTTATTCGATTGACAGACGCTCCTCCAAGCACGAAGCCATGGCCATTACAGATGGCTTGATCACGTTCCTGGGCAGCGACGGGTGCGTGACACCATTCATCGGACCCGAGACGGCTGTCTTTGACCTCAAAGGCCGCATGGCCATGCCCGGTCTGGTTGATGCCCACATGCATCCCATCTCGGGCGGCGCGGCATTACTCAAATGCAATCTGAACTACCAGCCGCTGGGTCTCAACGCCGTGCTCGACCATATCCAGAGTTGCATCGACGGGGAGCCTGAGAAGAGCGATGAAGACTGGTTAGAGGTCCTGTCTATGGACTGGTACACGCTTGCTGAAGATGCCGGGCCCATCACCAGCAAGACCTTAGACGTTCTCAAAACACAAAGGCCCATCGTCGCAACGTCGGCTGACCGCCACACCTTCTGGGTCAACACCGCTGCGTTGAAGGTCTCCGACATTACGGCTTCAACACAGAACCCTCCCGGCGGCGTCATCGAGCGTCTGCCAGGGAGCTTGGAACCGTCAGGCATCCTCCAGGACGCTGCCAGCGGCCTGCTAGCCGGCCCCGCCCCGGCGACTTTGCAGGAAGATGTCGAGTCCGCCAGGGCAGCTCTGAAGCTTCTCCGAGAGCAAGGCGTAACCACCTTCCAGGAGGCAGCGTCCAGCGCAAGGACGGCGGCTGTGTTCGAGGCCGTCAAGAACGAAGGCGGCCTGAGCGCACGCGGCTTCTTCGACCATCTCATCAGCGCGCCCAACTCCACGGCTGAAGTCGCGGCCCTCGTGGAGGAGGTCGTCAACGCCACCACCCAACTCAACGACCCCGCCGATCTAGGCCCAGAACCCTCCCTCAAGTGGCACGCTGTCAAGATTTTCGTCGACGGTATCATCATGTACCCGGCCAACACCGGTGCCCTTATCGAACCGTACTTCCTTCCCGTGGGTAACACATCAGTGTGGGCACCAAACTCGGAAAAGTGGCCCGAGCCGTATTGGTCGACTGAAATCCTCGCCGCGGTTCTCGAAGGCCTGATTCTCCATGGTATTGATGCACAGATTCACGTTGACGGCGACATGGCTGTGCGAACAGCCCTTGATGCTCTGCAAGACTTCCGCGACAAGCACGGCGACGTGTACGACTACAGAGTCGGCCTGGCCCACAACGAGGTAACGGACCCGAGCGACTGGCCGCGGTTCGCGGAACTCAAGGCGGACCCGATCATGAGCTTCCAGTGGGCGCAGGCCAGTTCGGTGTGGATGCCCAATGGCCTCAAAAACATGGGCCCGGTTCGTTCCAACTATCTCGAGGCGTGGGGAGATATTGCCAAGTTTGGCACGCGCATCATCTACGGAAGCGACTGGCCGGTACGTGAAATTGCTTCCCAGGGATGGGGCGCTAGGTTACTGACGTCTCACCAAGATTGATCCGCTCGACGAATGGCTCGCTGTCAAGGTCGGCGTCACCCGGTCCGGTGACCCTACGAACCCCAATTCTCCAGCCTCCCAGGGTGCTCCGTACGACGGGCCGGGCATTCCAGGCCTGTCCCTCTCGCGAGAGGAGGCTATTCGTTCCATCACCATCGAGAGCTCTCGCTTCCTCAGGGCGGACGAGCATATTGGCTCGCTTGAGGTGGGCAAGCTCGCCGACGTCATAGTCCTGCAGGCCAACTACTTTGAAGTGCCCGACGAGGAGATTGCGCGCCAAAAGACGCTGTTGACCATGCTGGGCGGCGAGGTAGTGTACATCGCGGAGGGCGTGAACTTTGCGAATGGGGTGGTGCCCAAGTTCCCCAACAACGGTACGCTGGACCGCAGGATGGAGGAAAGGACTGTTGGTGGGCTCCAGGGCCGGCTTCTGTCCCAGGCAGGTAGGGAAGCCGTCCAGCGTCTTTCCGTCCGCAAGGAGTGCGATCACGGGGCGGCACAGCTGCACAAACACATTCTTTGATTTTTTACTGTGTTCCGTCTGGGATATGTAGAATTGCAAATACGAGAGATTGCCGTCTAATATTATATGAAAAGATGACGATCGTTCACAACACGGGCCATGATGTGTCCGTCATTTCCATGCTGACGTTGACGCTCATAGCGCACGAGGGTTCTCGTCTGCTGTAGCAGTGTCCACAGACAGCCAGAAGTTCATCGGCGCCTTGACCGACCGAGTCTATGGATTGAGCGATATATGCAGGAGTCTCTCATATGAGTGTCAAGACCTCATTCGAAGTACTGGACACTTCACCCGTGGGACTCAAGACCTGATAGCTGGCGAAGAGGTCGTTTATTACAGGTCTACTGGGGAGGAAATAAGCACATACACACGACTGGAATCCCCAGGTCGGCTCAAATTGAGTGAGATTTCTCGTTCTGCTACTTCTGTCTCTCGTTACATCTATATTCAGCCTTCGAGGTTCAGTCATGGTTTGATGAAGATCACTAGCTACCCAGCCCTGAAGACATGGTGCAATACATGGGGCCTGCCTCATAGGTGTAGACACTACAACCATGCTGCAACCTAGGTGGTTAGGCGATTTGGCGCGTTAGTGGCGCAGCGTCCTTCACCAGCCGTGCCATCAGATGAGCTCTTCTAAGGTTTCGATACTCTGATGATCATCAGACCAGCAGGTGAACTACTCGTGACGAAGCGTGCCGTAGAAGGCAAAGCACCCGCTCAACAGCCCGCGTCCCGTCAATGACGAGACGGCTCAGACGGCTCAGACGGATCACCTCCAGCTTGATGTACCTTTGGCTGCTCTCAAGGTAAAGCCAACTCCGACATCACCCTCCTGCCTTGGGACCTGTCCCACGTTCCCCGCGCCCCGCGCCCCGCGTCGTTGGCGCGTCATGTCCCTAACAGCCACCCAGTACCGGTCCGTGCATGCGTGCGGTTAAATTCCCCGTTCCGTCCTAGAGCGCGGTGATGGGCAACGATGCCGGATCGGGCAATTTTCCCAACATGGCTGGCCGCGGGCTCCGCTTGGGCTCCGCCCGGAGGTTTGGTATCGGCGTGCTTTACGTAAAGTCCGGGACTGCTCCTCGGCTGTTGGTTCCAAGAACATGATTCCTTTGTCGGAATATGAATAAATCATCCAGTCGAGTAGGACATGAAGTCTGCAATTGAATTTTGGGAAAACCAGAGATCAAAGTGATACACTTGACATTCACAGAACCATCAGTTTTCGGGCCGCTCAAGACATGGCTCACTCGGTACCACATCCCTTGTCTCCTCTCACTGGAGAGGAGACAAACAGGGCAAGTGACCTTATCTTGCAATCATCGCCGAAAGAGGTAATTCAGTTCCGCATGATCTACCGCCAGGAGCCGAAAAAGGCCGACCTCACCGCGTTCCTGAGCCTCGAGCACTCGGGGTCCTTGCGGCCCGACTCCATGCGGCCACCGCGTCTCGCAGCAGTGCACTACGTCCGGGCTCACCAGGCGGCGGACCGAAAGGCGGACGAGATCGAAGCGGTCGTCGACCTGGATCGCGGCCTCGTCGTCAAGAAAGACGTCGTGGGAACGGAGTATCTGGCCGGACTCAGCACGTAAGATCTCCCTGAACCCCTCATCTGGAGCAGGGAGCTCTTGCTAACGAGCGTCCAGATGGGAGTTCGACATTCTCGTCGAAAAATGCAAGGAGTCTAGCGTGCTCAGTGAAAGGGTGGCGCAGTTTGCGCTTCCAGAAGGCTTCGAAGTCGTCATCGAGCCGTGGCCGTACGGAGGCATGGACCAGCCGGGCGGCGTGCGCAGGTACTTCCAGGGTCTCGTGTATGCCGTCGACACGCGGTCTGGAAATCCCGACTCTAACTTTTACGCATTCCCTCTGCCCATCATCCCGGTCATGGACTTTGAGAGGCGCGAAATTGTCCGCATTGACGAGCTCGCGACAGGCGGGGCCGGCGACGATCTTGTGCCCGCAGCTCCGCGGACGGGCGCCATCCTCGACCACTGCGCTCCGGCTGAGTATGTCCCCGAGTTGTTGCCCGGGGGGACTCGCAGGGACCTCAAACCGCTCAGCGTCGTTCAGCCCGAGGGCCCGAGTTTCTCGATCAAGGATGAGAGTCTTGTCGAGTGGCAGAAGTGGCGGTTCAGGGTCAGCTTTAACCCTCGCGAGGGTGCCGTCATTCACGATGTCTATTACGATGATCGGAGCGTGTTGTATCGCCTCTCGATTAGTGAAATGGTAAGCCAGTCTGGTCTTCCGGTATCCGGTATTAGACGAGACCCGACTGACGACGGTTCCAGACCGTGCCATATGCCGATCCTCGGCCGCCGTTTCACCGGAAGCAGGCTTTTGACTTTGGTGACGGCGGCATCGGGCATGCCGTTAACAATCTGACTTTGGGTTGCGACTGCCTGGGAGTCATCAAGGTACAACTCACAGAAGGCTGTGGAATATTGTTGCATCGCTAATGATGAACAGTACTTTGACGGTGTGTTGTGTACCCCCGAGGGAACAGCGGAAAAGACACCCCGTGTCATCTGCCTGCACGAGCAAGACAACGGCATCGGCTGGAAGCACACAAACTGGCGTACCGGCCGCGCCGTATCAACTCGCCGCCGAGAGCTGGTAGTACAGTTCATTATCACGCTGGCGAATTATGAGTACATCTTCAACGTGAGGCACCTCAACAGCTGGGATATGCAGGACATGCCGCTAACAAAATGCTAGTACAAATTCGACCAAGCCGGCGCCATCAACGTCGAGACGCGAGCGACGGGCATCGTGTCGGTGGTAAACATTGATGCCGGGAAGACGGCGCCCTGGGGTACTGTGGTGAACCCGGGAGCTCTGGCCCAGAACCACCAGCACATCTTCTGCGTTCGTATAGATCCCGCCATCGACGGCCATGAGAACACCGTCGTCCAGAACGAGTCTCTACCTGCGGGGATGGATGCGCGCACCAACCCACATGGCAATCTGTACGAGGTTAGGGATACGCCGTTACTTACCTCGGTTGGCGTCGACGCGTGTCCGGAGAACAACCGCATCTTCAAGATCCAGAACCTTGCTAAAAAGAATCCCATCTCTGGGCGGCCCGTCGGCTACAAGATCAACCCACCGCCAACCCAAAAGGTCCTTGCCAACCCTGGCAGCACGCAGGCGCAGCGATGCCTGTTCGCGCAGCACCACCTCTGGGTCACCAAGTACCGTGACGGCGAACTCTACGCCGCCGGAGAGTATCCTCTATCCAGCAAGCGGGAGGCAGGCGGCGTCGCCGACATGGTAGCGCGCAATGACGATCTTTTGCAGCAGGATGTGGTGTTGTGGAGCTGTTTCGGCCTCACACACAATCCCAGGGTCGAAGACTGGCCTGTTATGTGAGTCCATCTTGGTCAAGTAGTCTCCTGCCAGCGAGTACAACACTGACGTCAATAGGCCCGTTGAAATCATGGAACTGCACATCTCGCCCGTAGACTTCTTCACGGCAAATCCCGCCATCGACGTTCCTAGCGGGAAGGATACGACTTCAGAGCTCACAAGTGGCTGTTGTACTCGGCCGAAGCTGTAAGGTCTACTTGTAAATCAGGAGAAATACGGTGGTGAAAAATTCATAAATGGCGCTGGGTATAAATGTCATTGGTTTGAGCGGACTACCTGTACAACACGCGCAGTATCATAGATGGCCACAGGTACAACTACATCAGACAACTGATTCGATACCGTGGCTCCACTGCGACATGTCAGACATCAAAGCTCCCAGACTGTACGGGCTGACAAGCACTCACCTTTCCTCACCCAGTGCGGCCACGGGAGCCCTGGCTCGAGATCTCTGATGTCCCAAATTTGACGGAGCGCGCCGACGAGGTCACCCCGAACATAGGTCACGCCGCCAGGATTGCGAAGCCTCTGAACAATGGCATCCCTCATCATCTGCTCCATAGCCTCACAGCCGGCGATGAACAGAGGGAACACAATAGCGAAAGAAACCCGCGAGTCGACGGGTATCTTGGAGATCTCATCGACGATAACCTGGGTTTGTCGGCGGATAAATGGCGCCGTGGGTGGGAGGCCGTGAATCCGAGCGTAGAGGAGGACGGCCCCCGCGGCGTACATGGACTCATTGAGTGCAAGAATGGCTGCAGGGTCTGCGCTGCCCAAGGCTGACCGCGATACGTTGATGTCGCGGTCTCGAGCCTGCAGCAGCATGTCTTCTGCTTCCGAGACGTGAGCAGGCCAGGAGGGGTCGGGCTGGATATCTCCATCCTCGAGCTCCAGCTGCAGGAGTTGCGTCTCCAGTAGAAGGCCTATCCTGAGCAAAGGATTGACGAGACGCGGGGAGAAAGAGTATATCGGATGACTGACCCAGCGCTCGAAGGCCCGCGAGTAATTCCGTTGAATTTCGTTCTCGCTCATTTCAATCATACCGCCGATGTGCCCTCCAAGCGGGCTGGCGGGCTGCTGCAGGGAGCACAGGGTGGACACGACACTCCATCGGAACTCTGTCAGGGGAACTTCAGGGAAAGATGTGGTGGCGTTGGTTGTAGACTTGGGTCGCATCAGGTATTGGCTGACAAGCAGGGAGGCGACACGCAGGTAGTCGTGTGGCTCGGTGCCGTACCAGTGCAGCAGCGTCGCGGCGCTGATCATGGACAGCAGGCCGCTGTCGTCCGCGTCTCGTGACATTTGCGCGCTCAAAGCCAGCGCCGCCTCTGAACTGGTGAGACCTTTGGTCGCCTCGAAGTCGGATCGGCCGTGGCGAAGCTGGTACTGCGACGCTGCGAAACAGAAGATGGCGCCGCGGAGTGCATCGTTCGAGAGCGCCATGCGTGGCAGTGTTGTGATGTAGGGGTGTTGGAAGTCATACAGGTGCCCGACGTCCTCCCAATCGACACACAAAAAGTCGGCTTCAGCGATGCTCAGGAAGTACTGCCAGAGGAAGCGCCGCTCCGACGAGGCCAGCATGTCAGGAGGCCAAGGCATGGGGCAGTAGAGGTGACGAGGCACAAACTCGGCCGACAACTCAAAGGTGGAGTTGGGGCTAGCACCCATGTTGCTCAGACTGTCGAGTAGCGCTGCTGCGTCCGGGAACATGTCATTCCGTGTTGCAATTTCTAGAACATCGCCATCAAAGGCTGGCATGATCAAGGATGAGGGAGATGTGCTGTTGATGGCCTCGGTAAGGTCGGGGCCCGTGGCAACACCACCCGTGAACGTGAGCTGGCCGGGGCTCGTAAAGATGGGCATTGGACACTCGTCTCGGGGAAGAGGAGCGCCATGGTCGTTGCTGCCATTGAAGGCCTCTGCTGCGGGATGTGGCACCAGGGCATTCGGGAGAGCTGTGACGATGCCCGTTGCGATCTCAGCGTTCGAGTCGGCAGCCCAGAAATCCAGGTCTCGTGAAGCCCCTGGCGATGACTGGGAGGCTCCAGAGTCTGACGCCGACCGAGCAGTCGACGTGCCTGACAGAAGACTTGACGGCAGGATTTGCAGCTCTGGCTGCGAGGGTGCTGGCCGTGGGAGTGGCTTCTTGGGCACCGGGCGCCTCAAGTGCCTTGAATCAAAGACTGCCGGCGTCGAAATCTTGAACGTCTGAAGCTCGCACTCCTGCCCGTGCTTGGCACACTGTGTGCATTGCGGCTGTTTGTGATCACACTAGGTAGGCAGATGATCCATCAGCTTCTCCATCAAGTGCAGTGCATACCGTAGGAGGAGGGACGGCGCTCACCCTCCGTTTGCTCCGGGCGCACTGCAAACATGCACCCCTTTGTCGTCCCTTTGGCATGAGGGGACCAGGTCCTGACTGCCGACGCAGCGGGGACGGATTTCCAGTGTGTGGAAGCTACGCTGCACGATCTACGCATACGCGGGGAAGGACTGCTGCTATATGGACCTACCGTGCTCGTGCTGGTGGCGCCTGCCTCCTGCCCATGGATTGACCGGCCCGGTGTTGGAAATGGTGTTCGTTAGTCATCAGCTCTCTGTTTGTGCCCGAAGTACCGAGCCATTGCACTTCACCTTTGGTGATAGTTATACCCAGCACGTACATAGAACCATGGACTTCGTGAGAACAATGTCATTTCGTGTGCAGCCAGATCCTGGCAAACCGTACTAATCACAACGTCGAACAAGAGTCAATACAAAAAACACGGCTGATCCCCACCCCTGTGCGCATAACAAAACTGAACGCCTGGAAACGCCTCCATACGCCGCGCAGTCACAGCATCCGACCGTGCGTGATCCTGCTCCAGACACCGCCGTGATCTGCCGCTGCCCCGCCCCGAGGCCATGCCAGGGAGAATGGGTATCGACCCCGCTTGCCAGATCCCCAATATCTACCGTTTCCCCTCCACGCGCATTCTACCCGGCCCTGCCGAGTCCTTCGTGCTTCGCGACGATGCAGTTGGGAAAACCCCCCCTAGGATTCTGGCCAGCGCCACCTGGCAAAGAAATAGGGTATCATTTTCATAGCATCGTATCGCGGAGACTTCGCCGTCTCATGTCGTCCAACCAAGCCCCTAGTAAAAGAAAAAACAAACCCATCCAGTTGATGGAGGGCGTTCCAAAAAAGTAAAAAGAAAAACAAAAAAAACATGTCAGACTGATGGCAGCTGTGGAAACGATAGGATAAAAGAGAAACCGAAACCAGCAAGCATCAAGCTTGCCCGCGCATACACGTTAGCAGAGGAGGACCCTACATGGGCTGCGAAATCGGGGCTCCTAGATCTCCATGTGCGCCACGACCTCCTCTGACATTTCGCGCATGGGACCCTTGCCGCTACTCGAATCGTCTTCATCGTCTTCGTCGTAGTAATAGTTGCCGTCGCCATAGTCGTCTTCTGAAAATGGGACGAGATCACCGTCTGCCCCGCGGTTCCAGTTGAAGCCGTCGCTCTGTTCGTCATCATCGTCGTGGCGCACGACCCTGGCATCACGATCGCCCAGCCAGTACTTGGCCCGCTTGTTGCCCATTGGAGTGTCGACAAAATGGTTGCTCAAAGGCCTCTTGCTGCGAAGACCGTCGGTTGCCGGCATGCTGGCTCGCAGAACTGGTGATTGCGACGAGACTACGGGGACAACGCGCACGTAGAGGTAGGCGACACGCTTCAACGCCCGGTTGAAGAAGAAGTAGTGACTTGCCCAAATGGCGGATTCCTCCTCCTCAAACGGGTCGGTCTCGGGTTGGTAGGAAAAGACGGTGCACTCATTAAGTCGCATTTCTTTGTTGATCATGGCCCAACAGTGGGGCCCCCAGACTGAGTCCGTGAGCGATGAAGAGTTGATGTCGCTCGGTCGGACATCTGGATGTGGTCGGACGTTCTGCAGGATGGAGTCGAGATTGCCGATGACGCGCCGTAGGTTCTTCTCCCGCTTAAAGTCACCTGGCATCAGAACATTAGAGAAGTCGTAGTGTTGATGGCTGGCGTTCAGTGTCGCGATGAGGTAGGCAAAGGTGCGACGGCTGGACAGCTCGGAAAGGGGACCGAACGCGCTCGAGTGCGAAAACAGCTGCATATTTGGTGAAGTTGCCATCATGGCTTCGCGGTCGGGCGGTGACAGGCTGGCGCCGAGCTTCAGCAGCGCTTCGTGTTGTGATGTCAGGTCATCGTTGATTGTCTTGAAGAGTTTCTTGTCGGCGCCGGTGGATTTGGTGGTATATAGGTCGCATCCACCCGTGACATTGCAGTCTGGTGTATTGAAGTTCAGGGCACTCGCGACCGTATCGAAGTCGCGGATCGGTAGGTACTGGAAGCGGGCGTCAGTATTGAGGGGTGCGAGCAGGCAAATGATCCTCGAAGGGAATAGCATCCCGCGCAACACACCTTCATGCTGGGCTTGTGATGGCCGAAGCGACTACGAGATGAGCGCGCTGTGAGCCGATGGAGTTGATGGAAGAGCACGAAGCGGATGGACGGTGGGGTGGTGGTGGTGGCTGTTGTCGTCGTCGCGTAGGATGTCGGGTGATGTCAGACAAGGTCAGGCCAAGTGGAGTGTCGCGATGCGCCGGATGGGGGCGGAGCCGATGCCGGTCTGGCGCAATAGCGTGGATGGGTTGGTCTTCCGTGCGGTGTGTTGAGACGAGAGCTGACGATGGACGTCTTGTCAGGGCGATGAGGAATGAATGCCGGGCGGCTTAAATGGTAATAAAGCGAAGAGGAGGCGTAAAGCTTATTCGTGTCGAAACCATGCGCAGCCCTCGTGCTGAAGGTACTAAGTAGGCGATAGGGCCAAAAGGGTAGAGTGGCAGATGTGAAGCAGCTTTTGTACCTTTGGCCTGTGAGGATAAGAGGCGCTTAGACAAGGAGAAGTGCACAGTGGCGGTTGAGCATATCGCATGCGCAGCCGCGGAAACTGGGATCGAGGCGTCAAGGCGAAGCCTACTTGCCTTTTGTGACAGAGTGTCGGCAGATGGGAGAGATGGAGGGGGAAGACGGTGATGGAATCTGAACTGTCGCAGGGTGTTGGGGACCAAGATAAGGCCCAAACAGACGACTTGACCGCACTGCTGATACTGGCTGGGTAGGCAAGGCAGGTAGGCAGGTGTGCAGGCTGGGCTGGCTGCTGGCTACCTTACGTTACCGATAGCTGATTGCCGTGCCATGGACGTGCCAGCAGCTGTTGCGTAGGCTTCCGGGTGCGGCTGCAGCACTGTCATGGGTACGCGGGGGAGGGACTCGCGTTGTCGGACAGGGAAGGGATAGGGGGATGGGTCCTGCCAATCCACTTCGACGAGCGGGTCCGCCAATGGCGCGGGGCATTGAGGATGAGTGACCCCTTTGACCAGTCGGATAGCCAGATTGGAGTAGGTGGGTGCGTTCCTTTGGCCAGGGGCGTCCCACGACCACAGGCTAATGATGTTACTGCCAGGCGTAGCTCGGGTTCTTGAGGAGCTGCTAATCTGTTTCCGACGTTCGTCCTGGTGTGTGTGCGTGTGTGTGTATGTGTGGTGGTGAGAGGAGGACAGATTGGGTCAGTCAGGCTGGGTGAGAGGGGATAGGGTGCAGCGATATTCGATCGCTGCTGAGACGGGACGCGGGAGGAAACGACAAACGAATGGGACTGTCCGTTGGAGCCACGGGCGGTGACCAAAGCACGACGAACCTGTCGAAAACTGACCGGTGGATAGCTGTGAAGCAATCACTAGGTAATGGCAGGTCCAAAGCGGAGCGCGTTTCGTAAGGCAAGGCAAAGTTGGTATCGTATATTGGGGTGACCATGACACATGCCATGTCGCAGCAGCCCACCCATCCCATCCCTCGCCCGCAGTCTGCCTGTCTCTCTTCTTTCGTGAGGCATGTGTGCTGACCTGGGACTAAAAAAGGGATGCAATGAGCTGTCCGGCATGGTGGAGCTGCGGCTCGAGCGACATGTCGCCTCTGGTGACGAGCCGCTGCTGCCACCAACGCCTGCGACGTGTTCATTCTCTTGGTTCTGATAGAGGGCGGTTGTCCGCCCTCCAAGATCTATGCACATATTTCCAACCCCAACGGAGCCGTTCCTTCTCGGCCATCTCGTCGGTTGTTGTCCCAAACGGACGTCGTTCTTCGACTCTGCCCCTGCTGCTGCCTCTTGCTTCTGTCGTTCGGTCTGCTGTCGTCCATGTCGTTGATCACGTTGGCTGTTGGCCGGGTTGTTCGGGTGCCTCAGATCAAGCCTGCTTCTTTGAGCGCATGCTCGACCTCTTGCGAATCCTGTGAGACCATGGTCGAGTCCATTAGCCAAGAAACCGTCACCACGCGACGCGCCGTTCATCCTCCATCGGGTGACGTCCTGCGAGCAACCCCCAAGGCACGACTCTGGGCAGGTGCGGGGACGTAGACGGGTGAGGACAACTGAAGAGGCCTCAAAGGATCTTGGTAACCTCGTCCTCAACCTGGGTGGCGGGGGCACAGGGTCAGCTCTGACGCCAGGCCAGCAGCGAGGGGTGCCACACGAAGCTAGACGGCCACATACCTCCATATCTTCGAGTGCATCCTGCTGCGAAATACATCGCAGCACGTTCTTCTTGCTGCTCTCCTGCAGCTCGCCGGCCAGCAGCAGCTCATCGAGGATGTAATAGGCTTTGGTGAAGGAAAAGATGATGTCGAGTTCGCACACGTTGCCGTAGTACTTGTCCATTTGTTCAACGTAGCGGTGGATCACCTCGAGCGTGATGAGTTCGTTGTCGTCCGAGTCGGCGCCGGCGATGAAGAAGAGAGAGGCATATCGGCGGTAGACGATCTTGGAGTCTGCGTGCCGAGTGTCAGATTTCGGGGGTGCACCACTTGTTTACGTTGGCTGGTGACGAGGACCGACCTTTGTACTCGAGAAAGTTGCACATGCGAGTGCGACGCGCCAGGACCAGCTGGGAGACATCTTTGACGATCTTGGCCTTCTCCTTGGGCGAGAGGGTAGTGAACCATTTGGCCAGACGCTGATGATTCCCTTGTCAGCACAAGGCGCCATGGCTTCGAGAACGGGGTTGTGTGATGCTTTAGCTAGATCAACATACGACTTTGCCCTGTCTGGACAGGAGGATCAAGTATCTGTGTCGTCTCTTAGCCAGGATGCCCGGTCAGGTGGCCTCGTCGGCTGCCGCGCGCGAGCGAGAGAGGGTAGGCCATACTGGATCGCCATGATGTAGACGATGTGTTGCACACCACCTGCACCTTGGGACGTGAGGGGAGGCGGAAGGTGGGAAGAAACCGCTGGCCCAGCAAGGTACGTGGATTTGAGGCTTTTCCAAATTCAAGCCGAGAGCTGACGTCGCTTTAGCAAGGTGAGCTGGTAGGCTGATGGTGGATCTGACAGGTAAATAATTCTGGGCGTGCTGGCTGTGGTTGAAGCGGACCGTGGTTGGCGACGACCTGAATTGCACTGGACTGGACAAGGAGGCAGTTGAGAGCTTTCGAATGCCAGCCAGCTGTCCCCACCTTGCTCCCCCAATGGCTCGAGAGCCAGTCTCCGTGGTGTCCTTTTCTCGAGGTGCAGGGTCCTTCCGGCCCATTAACCGAAGATCTGCCATCCTCGGCACGAGCATGGGGGCGCGGGGAGAGGGAGAGAGCGAGGGAAGGAGGGGCACACGGCGGGCGAGCGGCAGAGGGTTACGGTCACTGGAGGCGCGCTGAAGACGCTCACAGGCCCGTCGTGGTGGGGGTGAGAGCGCCAACGACCGTGGGCTGGCAGCGTGACGCTCCAAGACATCCCACGCTGCGCTGCACCACAGAGTGCCTGCAGAGTGGCCGCAGGCTACGGAACGCGCTACCCGTGGACTACAGCGCCAGGTGCTGCCATGATGCGTCAGCCTGACTCGTCCAGTGCGGATGAAAGACGGCATTCGGGTTTTTTTTCATCATCAGCTTTAGCTATCGGACATGGATGGCATGGGGGTTTGTTGCGGCGGGGGGGCGCCTCGGTGCGCTTTGCAGGAGATGCTTCGGCGGCCTGGCAGGCAAGCGCGTCATCTCGACTTTTGTCACTCGTCCCATCGGCCTTTCCCCCCTTCGCTGAATCTTCCATTATTAAGCCAAAGTCGCGCGCGCCCTCCGCATACGGCGAGACCGAGAGCAGACACTATCGCGAGGTCGACCCAGCCCTTTCCTTTTCATCTGGAGGACCTGGAGAAGACTGATTGCTTATTATCACCTTGGTGTACTGGAAGGCTTTTCCTTCGACTTTTCTCCCCGCCCCCCCCAGCAAATTAACTTTCCCATCTCAACGCTCATCTACCCCTCCAACCCGTCACTTGCCCACACCTAAATCCCTTCTCTTCTGAAGATCATCTATTGCGCAATCCCGCTTTCACAAGGCGACACATCCACAATATCCCGATCCGTCGACAGCCGACGCCCGAGGGCGCCAGTATTACCCCTCGCCTGTTTTGCATTTTCTCGTCGACCCGGCTTAGAAAAAAGGACGTTCGTCGCGATCCGTCATGACAAAGCTCATCCTCTCCACCGGGTTCGTACCGCCCTATCCTCTCTTTTCGTCAATGCAACATTGGTCGCTAGAGAGTGATGACCAAGCGACCGGTGACGCTGTAATAACGAGCATTCATGCTGCGCAACAGAAGCGGGGGACAATCAGAAAAGAAGAAAAAAATCGGCTAACTGACTTGCCCCACGAACAGGAACATCGTCTCGGGCGGCCCCTCCATCATCCGCAAACCCGGCGCATACCGTTCTAACCTCGAACTCACAAATTCCCTGCGAAGCAATTTCCTCGCCGCTCAGCAGGACTACTCTGCTGCTGCCTCGCCCGAGTCCGAAGCTGAGGTCACGACCCCGGCCGAGACCAACGGGTTCACCAATGGTCACACCAGCAATGGCAACAGTACCAACGGCCTGAATGGCCATGCGAATGGCCATCTGACTAATGGCAACGGCAACGGCCACAGCACCAGCAACAGCAATGGCTCCAATAGCCCGCGCTTCGACGCCAACGGCCGCCCACGCCTCGATATCTGGACAGCCCTCGAGGATCATACCGACACGCTCTACGTGCCCCGCATTGACTGGGATCTGGCCGGCCTGCAGGAGGAGCCCTCTGCTTACGACGTCACGGTCAAGCTCTTCTTCCTGCCCTCGGCCTCGGTCGCCGACCGCGCGCGCCATGCCAGCGAAGCCCTGGCCCTTGTCCGCCGCGAGCTCGACATTGAGCGCGTCGACCTACTCATCGCCAGCTTCCCCGACATGTCATTTGAGGGCGACTGCGAGTGGGAGGCTGACAAGCGCAATGCCCAGCAGGGCGATGTTGAAGCCGAGGCCGCGACCTGGGCTGTCCTTGAGGATCTGCAGCGTCAGGGCCTTGTAAGCAACCTTGGGATCGCCGAGTTTGGCACCGAGAAGCTTGCGGCATTCCTCAAGAAGGTCAACGTCAGGCCAGCCGTCGACCAGATCAACATCCACAACTGTTGCAATGTGCCGCCGCCTCTTATTCAGCTGGCCAAGGCCGAGGGCATCGAGCTGCTCGTGCACACAGACTGCACCAATGTGCTGCCCAAGGGCACGCTGCGCGAACTGCTCGGCCACGGCCTGCAGGGCGCCGGCGTTCTGGCCGACCCTGTCGAGGGACACGACGGCTTGCGCGGAGAGCTAGAGCCCCAGTGGGTCGTCAAGTACACGGCGTTCGTCAAGAACCGCGGCGTCATCGAGAATAAGGGCTACTTTGCTGGTGCGGAGCTCGTCGCGGCGGCGTGAGCGAAGGGTCATATGGCGGCGGCAACAACGAAGCGGAACGGAGGATGATTTGGGCTTTGATATACCACACCCACGCCCCCGGGACAGTCGATTTTTCTAGAACAAATGCATAGCGTGATTTGGATGCCTTGAATTTAAGAGGTACTGGCTTTCAATGAAGACTCTATTCAAGTTGTACTTTTTTCGCCTCCTTGTGAATCACGCGGAGCACTCAGGCCTCGCTCGCGATCATGGCAGCCGCCAGCCTCTGCCCCCTCTCGCCGCCGAGGTAAATGTCGTCCTCGGCACTCTCGTGTCCCATGTCGACAGCAATCTGATACCCAGTCGAGACCGTCTCCTCATCCACGCGCAGGCCGTTCTCGACGAGGGCCATGATGACGCTGCGTATGCGCGAGATCTCGCGCATCGTCTCCGTATCGATGCGGTCGTTCTGGCTCGAGTAGACGTTGGCGCTGACCGTGTCCTCCATGCGGTTGAGGCCGACGACCTCACCGGCTCCGGCGGCGCTCTCGCCGTCGGCCTTGACGAGCTTGCTGATCCAGATGTAGCCGTTGACGCCGAGCGTGACCTCGATCTGGTCGGCGCCGCGGGCCGAGGCGTCGACGGCGAAGCTCTGCCTCTTGGCGCGGACGACACCGGCGCCGCCGCCGCCGGTGCCGCTGACGGCGCAGAAGAGGCCGTTGCGCAGCTTGCCGTAGCGCAGGGAGCGCGTGTGCAGGCTGGCGCCGCCCTCGGCGTGCAGCGTCTGGACCTCGGCGACGAGCAGGTCGCCCTCGGCGAAGAAGGAGCGGATCTGCAGCTCGTCCGTGTCGGTGCGCTTGCGCAGGATGCCGCCGGGGAGGTTGATGGCGGAGATTTGCAGCGTCGCGAGCTGCGAGGCGCCGACGTCGACGCGCCACCGCTTCGGCTGCACCTCGACGATGCGCCCGACGACGAGGTCGCCAATCTCGGGCGTGTAGCGGGCGCGCAGCGGCCGCACTGACAGCAGCTTGTTGGTGCGGGTGATGGTGCCGGCGACGGACGAGACGATGGAGCCGTCGGCCGCGCTGACGTACGTGCCGTGGCCTCTGAGATCCATGGTTAGCACGACGATGCAGGCACGGGGAACAGAGAGATGTGATACCGCATCCACTGGGGGTCGTCGGTGATGACCTCGCCGGGCGTGACGATATCGTGGTGGCCAGCATTGCGGGCGCGCTTGGCGGGGCGGCTCATGCTGAGGTCGCCATCGAGATCGACGCCGCCGTCGTCTGAGTCTGAGTCGGATGCATAGACTGTGTTGGTGTGCACCTGCGGCGTGGGTTTCGGCGCATGGATTGTGATGGGCATGTTGGGTATGGGGGCGGCAGGGTCTGCCGGTGACGGGGGGAGGTGAGTGTTCAGATGTGCCCGGTCAGGTTGAGATGCGGTTCCTGTACGTGCATGCGTCGTAGTATGTTCGTTGCTGAGAAGATGGCGCTGCAAGGCTGAGTGATGGTGCTGGGTGGGATGGACTGAAGCTTGTGAAGTGAAACTTTTTTGGAGGTGAGCTCAGAGACTCCATTTGGTCCGTGACGGACTTTTGACCTGACAAAGGTGCTCTGGGATCCGTGGGCGCTGTGTAGCTTCACAACACCGCATGCACAACACCCGGGGATACTGAACACGCGATTCAATTCGAGAAAAAAGACAGCAGTGTTTTAGATTTCTTCGTTTTACAGTGTTGTACAATATCGTTATGCGTGGCTGCAGCACCGAGCTGTGGGCCATGACGCCGCCAGCTGCATCTACAGCTTCGACCCCTTTGCTCGGAGCATCGTCACTCGGGTGAGTGTGTCCCCCTTTTGGTATCTCTATCTTCTTGTACAAATATCCCGTACACCCTGATCTTTTTTCTTTCTTTCTCTCTTGCCGGGCCATTTGCGCTCTACTTGAACAGCCTCCAGATGCCCAAGTAGGCGAGTCCCAGGGAGATGCCCGTCACACCGAGCTTGCGACTCCGCATGCCGAACATGGTTTTGCGCTGCAGCAGAGCCGCTCGCTGCTTCTCGAGGTGCGACATGCCGGTCAAGTAGTTGTAGCCAGCTAGGCCAAGGAAAGCGCCGCCGCCTGGTACCATCGGGGTTAGCAAAGATGTTTGCAGGAGAGGCATCGGCCCTGGCAAGGCAGACGAACCGATGACACGGCACGACGTGCAATCATCGCCACGGTCGGCGCGCAGCAGATCGTCAAGGTTCTCAGGCTTGTCGAGAGAGCCGAGACTGGGGACGTCGCCCGCCATGGTGAGGAGCAGACAAGGCGAAGTGGGATCGAGATTTGGGTGGGAGATGGGTGGTGCTTCTGCGAGTGCTCGACGGAGACAAAGAATGCAATGCGACCAGACGACATGGGCCCTGTCTGCCACTGGCATCCAAATGTCGCAGTTCTGAAGCTCCGACCGCCGATGTGGGGGCTGTCACC